AATACTACTTTTAATATTATTACTAATATTAATATTATTAATAATGCTACTGTCATTACTATCACAGTAATTATTTTTATTATCATTATTAGTATTAATATTAATATTAATATTATTATTGTTATTAGTATCATCGTTATTACTTTTAACGATCGTGCATGGTCATTTTACTAGATGTTTGAACAGTATAAAAGAGTAAAGGAGAAGGCAGGGGAAGAAATGGAAGAAATTTGGAAAAAAAACAGCAATATAGTAAGTAATATACTTTTTTATCAACTTTTACATTTACAAAAAAATATTTGCTCAAGAAAAGCGGAAAGGAAAAATCAATTTTTTCGGGTTTTTTGCTAGTAAGATACAGAATCTGAACATTATTTACCGTCGTTGTAAAGGGGTCCTGAACAAATTGTTAGTCGGGATAGATACATAGATAAATAGATGGGTAGATAGATAGGTAAATAGATGGGTAACTAAGTAGACAAATAGGTAGTTAGTTAGACAGATAGATAGGTTGATAGACAGTTTGGATGAATGAAAAGACAATTGTGCAGTCTTAATGACCAAGCGGAGATGTTGGCTTAAATCAGAGATCATAGATGTTGATCTGTGACTGTATAAAGGGAGGAATAAATCGATGGCGATAATACTGATGATAATAATATTAATATTAACAATAATAATAATTGTTATTATTATAGATTATAATTTGTTAAAAAATAGACAAAATTTAAGAATCTTTCTAAAGAATGGACAAAATTTTTGTTATGTTTTATATCTGAACTTTAGTGTAAAAGTATTAAATGTTCTGTATTTTTTTTTCTGTAACATTTTTCAGTTGAAGATTAGAAGTGTTAAGTTTGCAAAATAGTTCTTTTTTTCTTCAGTTTTTTGCTTCTACTTTTTATTGTATTGTTACTTAACTGATTTATTTGTATTGCTATATATGTTGATAAATACCTGTGAAGAAACGGATCTCGATCTTTGCTGAATTATTTTATTATTATTATTATTATTATTATTATTATTAT